AACTCCAGATAAGCAGCATCAGCACATCACCCAATCTGTCTAAGGTCAATGCTGGAACGGGAAACATGAGAGCACTCAAATCATGTGACGGCTGTCCTCTGGGCTCTGCTCCCAAAGAGGAAATAACAGCATGTCTGATGAGTATCAGACCCATACTAATGACACTAGGCAAGCAACCAGAGAACCGAAATGGGAAGAACAACTGAATAAAAGAGAGTTAGCCAAGATAGGTAATACAACCTATAACATTTACGTGGTTATAAGAGCTATTACGAAAATGATGAATTACGGCCTGTGGTCAAATAGAAGTCACTGCCTAGACAGAATTCGAGTGATCTGCTGGTACATTAAAACCTGCTATGGGATCACATCACGATAGCCTCCTCTGATTTCATTCTGCTTTGTACTTGAAAGGAGAAAACAGTTTGTTCAACACATATATGCTACACATTTCAAATTTATCTATTGTCCTCAAAAGTTCATTTTTAATGATATATGAATTAATCATTTATTAACTGAAAAGCCAATCTATATGTATATTAATATAGTCATAAAAATAAAAGACTCCTATGCTTTTTCAACCAATTGAAGTCAAAGTGAATTAAACTTTGGTAATCGCAAACTTTGCTGCATTTAACTTTGCATTCTTTCTCAACTCTGCTTCAAGCAACAGGACTTCATTCCCCATGAGTAGCAAAGTCCCAGAAGAGGGAATAGCCATACAGATAAGAATGTTATTTTGTACCATTCCAAAATGAAATCTGACAACAAATGAGTGCTAAACAGATGGGAATAAAGGGGGCAGGCACAGTGATTAGTACTAGACTTCATTACGTGTGTCTATAAAACACTTAAATATCATTCCTAAAAGAGCATCAATAAACAAAGAAAAATACCAGACAACCCAAAATTAGATGACAGGATATGACCACACAGATCATACAAAACAGCTAGCATAAACTCACCAGTTAAAAGACAGAATTCGCAAATGGGATTAAAAAAGGTCTCCTCAAAAAAACAAAAACAAAAACAAAAACAAAAACAAACAAACAAAAAAAAAAAACACAATGTCTAAAAACAAAGAAATGAGAAATGATAGTCCAGGCAAATCCTAACCAAAATAAAGCCAGTACAGTAATATTAATGTCAAAATAAATTTGAAGGTACTGTATGATGGTAAAAAGGGGGACAAAATTCCAAGAATATTTAATTTAGCACATGTTGCCATATAATAATCTAGCCTCAAATTTTATAAAGCATAAACTTACAGAAATATGAAGAGAAATTATCAAATCAACAATTACAGGGAGAGATCTCAACACACCTCTCATATTAGTTGATAAATGAAGCAGTTAAACAATTAACAGAGACATAAACAATATGAGCCACATAACTAATAAGACTGATCCAAAGGACAGCTCTGAACACCTGTGCCAACAAGGAGAGAATATACTTTCCCAAACTCAAAAAGAACTATTACAAAAACTGACTATAGATTAGCTTGCAAAATAAGTCTTAACAAATGTAACAGATCCCACGAGACATGCACAACATATATTCACAACACACACATGCTCTGGAAATTCAAAACCACATTTATAAAAGCTTCAGTGGTCAAAAATGACCCATTTAACAGGACGCAAAAATATTAAGCACTGAACGGCAATGAAAAGCCCTATACTCAAAACTTGTGGACTCAACAAGAGATACTTGAAGGGAAAGCTAGAGCCATGAAAGCCTATATTTATTTGATACCCAAGAAATCAGAAGAAAAACAGGCTAATCACAAAAGAAAAACTAAAGAGCAAAAGGGAAAAAATGTTACAAAAAAAGTAACATAGAAACAATAAAACCAAGTTGTTTCTTTGAAAAAAAAATTAAAATGGTTAGCTCTATAGGAAGAATGAGGGGGGGAGAAAAGGCAAGTAACTATAGAAATGAAAATGGAATGAAAATCAAGTGCACACGACGAGAATACTATGACAAACGTCATGCCAAGAGATTTGTCAAATTAGAGGACATGGAGAGTTTCCTCTGAAAGTATGAATTACTACAACTAACTCAAGAAAAAACAGAAACAAGCTGTTAGTATAAGGAAACTGAATCAGTGATTCAAAAAACAAAACAAAAGAACAAAAAAACAAACCCACTCTCCAACCCTACTCTTTTCACCAGGCCAAGACAGTTTTAAAGGCAAGTTTTACCAGATCTCCCAAGAACAGATAACGCCTAATTTATCTAAACTTTTCCAGAGAATGTTAAAAGGGAAGCAACTTTATGAGGCTGGTATGTAACCTGGTTAATAAAATTTCACAAAGCTGATAAAAGGAAATAAAATATATTATATGCAAAAACCCTAGATTAAAAAATATGAAATGAATGTCAAATCATCACGAACAAGTAGAGACAATGTGGAAAAATTCAATTCAGGGCTTACTAGCTGGAATTTATTTTTAATTCTTTTTAACGTTTATTTATTTTTGAGACAGAGAGAGACAGGGCATGAACAGGGGAGGGTCAGAGAAGAGAGGGAGACACAGAATCCGAAACAGGCTCCAGGCTCTGAGCTGTCAGCACAGAGCCCGACACGGGGCTCAAACTCACAGACCGCAAGATCATGACCCGAGCCGAAGTTGGACACTTAAGCAACTGAGCCACCCAGGCACCCCCTGGCTAGAATTTAAATTGGCACCACCGCTTTGGAGATCAGTTTGGCAGGATCTGGGAAAACAGAGGAAGCAAAATTGCAATCAACCAACAGAGCAATTCCACTATGGTCTACCCTGAAGAAACTCTCGCACAAGGAAACAAGGCAAGGTGTAGGATTGTGATCACTGAAGCAATGGCTGTTATACTACGTAAAGAAATTGAGCCTCAGCACAGGAATGGATAGACTGGTTTCGTCATCCAAAGAAAACTACACAGCAGCTGAAAGTGAACAAAGTAGATTTACATGCGGTAAAAAGAGATGTACTGAGCAAGAGAGATGCGAATGAGACTTCAGCAAGGTTTTGGGTCTTAAAAAAAAATCTGAAACGCATGGCATAATAGGAACATCTGACTAAAATTTTTATGGGGAATATACAGCTGTCAATTCTCTTCTAGATTTTGGTAGTTTTTTACATACATGGTGACTTTAAAAGATAGACAACAAAAATAGATTTAAACCATAGAGCACATTGGTAAACCCTGAGGTTTGGTCATATAAAGAGCTTCAGAGATAGCAAGGACCTTCTGAATTACCTAAGCAACATTATATTCCATAGATGAAGCCAGCTTCCGGACCTCAGTCTGGCCCAGAGAGCTTCGATAAATGGTTCAAAGTCACATAACAAGTTATCAAGTTGGTTCTCAAATTTTAGACTCCCTAACTTCTAGCACACGTAGGAGAAACAAGGAGCATGGGGTCAAACGTAAATGAGTCAAGTTCACAGCGTCATTGTATTATTTTCTTTACTGTACCCACCCTACCTGAGACACACAGTTTATCAGTCTCCCTCTAACCCTCCGAGCTCTCTCTCAAAGCTGTAAGGGTTTTTAATTCTCTTTTGCCACTCCTGTTCTTGAAATAAATGAAATATCTAAACAATTATAACTAAAATGAGTAAAACAGATGAAGTAAAATAAAGGACCATGAATTATTCATCTTTGCACCCTCCGTACCTTGTATTCTAATACAGGTTTAAATATATAATAAAATACTGTTCAACTAGATAGGTCTACTTCACCAAGCTGAATCCTTTCATTATAGTTAAAGTGTAACTTCTATTTTTAGTAAGAATGTGAAGAATTAGGAAGAAATAATTTTAATGTTTAATAAGCGAGAAGACCAAAGCAAAGACTATTCTATAGAGACCATATTTTAAGTGAACAAAATGGGTCCCACTTACTGCTTTGTCCACGTGTAACAAATCAAACAGGGTAGTTTGGTGGTCAGGTTCACAATGTCCAGAGTCAAAGTGCCAGGTCTGGAATTCTGGCTCACCCACTAATTGGCATGAAACTTTGAGCAAGTTCCTTAAACTCTCCAAGCCTTCCATTCCCCACTGTAACAACGGGAACACCCATAATAATACCTACCTCATATAGATTCTTACAAGTGTTATGTGAAATAGTCCATTCGAAGCTTTTGGCACAGTTGTTCAGTGCATATCAGCTATGTGCACATGTTCTTGTAAATAAAGTAACTCAGCTATGAAAAGTAACAAGCTCGAACGGAATTATAAGGTACTAGATGCCTTAAAAAAATTATATTGGTGGGGCACCTGGGTGGATCAGTAGGTTAAGCATTCTACTTCAGCTCAGGTCATGATCTCACAGTTCGTGAGTTCGAGGCCCTTGTCAGGCTCTGTGCTGACAGCTCTGGGCCTGGAGCCTGCTTCGAGTTCTGTTTCCCTCTCTCTCTCTGCCTCTGCCCCATTCATACCCTTTCTCTCTCTCTCTCTCTCTCTCTCTCTCTCAAAAATAAACATTAAAAAAATATTTTTGTTTTAATTATATTGGTTTTGGTCACATCCATGCTAATAAATTATATGCTTTACAAATCATGAGTGTTGTTTAATTAAATGAAACTGAATAAATGAGCTCAATCTTAAATCGTTAGACTCAGGATAAAAAAAACTTAGGGGTAAAGTTCTGAAATTAACATGACTCTGAAATACCAACCTAGCTGGTTTCTCAAGTGAAACCCTTACAGAAAAAGGTAACATTCAAACTATTTAATACCCATTCTGAACAAACACCAGCCAATGCACACAACCAGTGCAAACTAGCAGAACATTGGCCCTGATTCCGCACCCCCCACCCCCTCAGGGTCAGGAAATATTGTTTGTCATGGAAATGACCCTCTCCTGTTCTTGTTTTTTAAAGCACAACTGACAAACTAGCTTACAGAGACACAAAAATATATACACTGTGCCAGCCCACAAGTGAGGGCAACCTGTGCCTTCTGTGTTCACCCTACACATCAAGACAGCCATCCAACCAGCACCCCATCTCACCTCCAGGTCACAGCTGTACTCGGTGCCATCTAGGAGGGTCACTTTACACTGGACAGTTTTGGTCTTCTTGGTGGCTTTCTGAGAAGCCTTCTCTGACTTTAGCTCATTGGTCTGCACTTCCTTGGTCTCCCTTTTTGCTTCTTCTGATTTGTCTTCCTGTATTTCTTTAGCCTTCTCTTCTCTCTCCTTACTTACTTCATCAGCAGGCTGTTGACAAAAAAATGTACGTTCATACTAAAGTTAACCAATTTGCAGAAGACAAAGTATTAGAAGGAAAATCTTCAGTAGGAATTGTGATTGTTATAAACACTGTCAACCTACAATGTTAAAAGACTTCAAAATTTTGCTAGAAAAGATATTCCCCATATCTCCCTCCCCCTTCCTCCATTTTCTCATTTTGCCAGTTTGGTAACATCAGCATTAAATGAGTACTACATCCTGGCAACTAAAACTTAAAATATCATTTCAAATAATAAAATTTCCAATTATAATAGAGTAGTATGGCAAAGCCTAGGTTCATTAGGTAACCAAAATGTTCACACATACAAATCTATTTCTTCCTACTTCCTGAACACTCCCATACATCAAATCAAAGAGGTAAAAAATCCACACTATTTAAAAAGGACAGGCGGAGGCGCCTGGGTGGCTCAGTCGGTTAAATGTCCTACTTCAGCTCAGGTGATGATCTCACAGTTCATGAGTTCGAGCCCCGCGTCGGGCTCTGTGCTGACAGCTCAGAGCCTGGAGCCTGCTTCGGATTCTATGTCTCCCTCTCTCTCTGTTCCTCCCCTGCTTGCACTCTGTCTCTCAAATATAAAGATCAAAAAAAAAAATTTTTTTTAAAGGAGAGGTCGTTGGATTCTAAGTATCTGTTTAACCTAAACAGTAAGAAACATGGATTGTTTTTTTTTTTTTATAGTTTGCATATAGAGTCAATTTTTTTGCCTTATTATTTGGGCAAGTTTTTAAAAAGAAGTAACAAGAAGGCTGTAGCAGACCACTCCAAGACCCATATTCCAGATACAATAAGCCAAAGTAGTATCTGCATAGAAAAAATCTCAAAATGACTCAAAAGAAATCCTTTTTGTCATGTGGCTAGAACATCAAGCTGTAGGCGCACCTGGGTGGCTCAGTCAGTTAAATGTCCAACTTTAGCTCGGGTCATGATCTTCCAGTTTGTGAGTTTGCCCCACATTGGGCTCTGCACTGACAGTGTGGAGACTGCTTGGGATTCTCTCCCCCCACCCCCCCCGAAAATACACGTATTTGAAAAAAAAAAAAAAAAAAAAAAAAAAGAACATGAACCTTTAATTCCCAAACACTTCTCAAACATACCTGTGCCGCAGGACCGCTCACTGGTTTCTCTTCCTTGACATCAACTTTAATCTCCTGTTGTTTCCTCTGAGCGGTTTCTTCGGCATCACCCTTGGCCTGCCTCTCTCCTTCAGGAAGAGATTCTTCTTTATCTAAAATCTCCTCAGCAACAGCTTGGGTAGGCTCTTTTTTATCTCCTCCATCTTTGGCCACTACTAAGGTATAGGACTTTTGTTTCTTAAGCCATGGGGGTATGAATCGAGAAATTCCCCTGCTCTCCGATGGATCCTTCTCTCTCTTCTGGCGGTGTGGACTACTTTGGCTTTCAGCTGTAGGAGATGACTGGGAACCTTTTTCCTCCTCTGGATCGGAGGACTGATTCTGCTGATTTTCTGCTACTTCTTTCGTCTTCTCCTTGGTTGTATCTGTGTCTGCTCCTAATTGTTCAGGTTCTTTCTTCACTTCAGAAGTGGAGCCTACTTCAGTGGTCATGGTTACAGCTTATGCTGTAAACAAAACAAAACCACAAAATGCTATTTTACAAACTCTCTCAGTTTTAGTTTGGAGGGAAGGAACAGGGTACAGAAGAGTGGGAAGGGAAATGGCAAAGAGATGATAGAAAATGTGTAGGGAAAGACGGTTCATAAGCACAAAAGAAAAACGGAGATTGCTACTCTTAGAATTATCTATCAGAATCAAAGAACCAAAGGTAGCATCACAATGGAATTAACTGATTCTGTACTGATAGAACTTAAAATCATGAAGAGCTTAGGTGATTACTTTTATTAAGTTTTCCATAAAAAACTTACCCCAAAAAACCCCGCCATTTTTTAAGGAAAATTTCTTTTCTCTATACTTTGTATGCCTTATTCTATCACACAATAATGTTACTGATACTGTTAGTAAGTATGGAGACAAATTTCACTGCAATTTCACACAGTGAAACCAAAATGATGGGTATTATAAAGATGAATTTTAAATGTGGAGTGCTTAATAGTGAGAAAATTAGATCTGGAAAAAAAAACTGTATCTTTTTTGTCCCCAAATTAAACCCCATAATTCACCAGCATTATTTCAGTGCAGAAGTTAGTTTTCTGAGAAAAGTACTCAAACTATGATCAAAAAGTCTAACCCTCTGTCCCACCCAAACGCAAACATAGTCTTCCTTATAGATGCAATTACAAGTATCTAGGGGCCCTTAATCTGAACCAAATGAAGACATTATAGAGGTGGGGAGGGGAAATGCATCGAACAATTGACCCTATCACAACTAACGAAAACAAAATTGAAATGAAGTGTGAAAGTAACTACTTGTCTCAATTTCACACGAGCAAAGAGGGATTTTTTAAAATAAAGCTCCCCTGCTGATATATTAAAAACAAACAAACAAACAAAAAAACAGGCAGAGCAGAGATAGCACACTCTCTCCTCTGTTGCCAATGTTCAAAGGCCTGGGAACCCTGGCCAGTAGGAAATTTTCCAGCTATCTTCAAAAGTAGTACAAACCTTGACTAGTTCAAAAAAATAAAACACACTTGCTCTTTTTTAAGCTTTAGTGAGATATACTTCACATACCACAAAATTTACCCATTTAAATTGCTTAGTTAATGGTTTTGAATACATTCACAAGATTGTGCAACCATCACCACTATCTAATTCTAGAATATTTTCATCATCCTGAAAAGGAACTTTCTACCCATTAACGTTTTGTCTCTGTTGTCCCCTCCCCCCGCCCCCAGCCCCTGGCAATTACTTTCAATCCATATGGATTTGCCTATTCTAGACATTTCAAATAGACGGAATTACATATGTGGCATTTTCACTGGACATAATGCTTTCAAGGTTCACCCATACTATAGCATGCATCAGTATTACACTTGTTTATTAAAATATTCTTCACCCTCTTTTGCCAATCATATATCTGATAAGAGTCTAGTATCCAAAATATATCAAGAACCCTTACAATTCAACAGAATGAATGATAAATGAATGAATGAATGAATGAATAAAAGAATGAATGAATGAATGAATGAATGAATGAAAAGAATTTTAAGTAGACATTTCTCCAAAGAAAACATACAAATGGCCAGTAAGCACTTGAAATGCTGCTCAACATCATCAGTCATTAGGGAAATGAAACCCAAACCACCATCACATACCACTTCATATGCACTAAAAGATGGCTCTTATCAAAAAGACAGAGAGTAACAAGTACTAGTGAGAATGTGGAAAAATTTAAATTCTCAACCCTGGTGGCAAAGAAAGTAAAATGGTGCATTCACTTTGGAAAACCGTTTGTCAGTTTCTCAAAAGTTAAAGTTACCACAGGACCTAGCGATTCCATTCCTACGTGTATATATATACCCAAGAGAAATGAAAACAGATGTCCACAGGAAAACTTGTAAACGAATCTTCAGAACAGCCTTATCCGTAATAGTCAGAAAACAGAAACTCAAATTTCTAGCAACTGATGAATGGATAAACAAGATGGGTGTGTCTGTGCAATATTAACTCCTAAAAAGGAATGAAGTGCTAATGTATGCTGCCACACACAAACCTTGAAAACATTGTTCTAAGTGAAAAAAATACAAAAGGCTACATGGTATGTAATATGCTTCTACGAAATTTCCAGAATACGCAAACCCACAAAGAAGAAGTAGATTAGTGGTTGTAAAGGGCTGGAAAATAGAATAGAGAGCAACTGCTAATGAGTACAGGGTTTCCTTTGGGGGTAATGAAAATGTTCTGGAATTAGACAGTGGTGATGGTTGTACAGCCTTGTGAATACACACAAAACCATTGCATTGTAAGCTTTAAAAGGGTGATATCTCAGGGCGCCAAGGTAGCTCAGTTGGTTGAGCATCTGGCTCTTGATTTTGGCTCAGGTCATGATCCCAGGGTTGTGGGATCCAGCCCCACGCCGGGCTCCATGCTGTGTGTGAAGCCTGCTTAAGATATTTTCTCTCTCTCTCTCTCTCTCTCTGCCCCTCTCCAACTCGTTTGTGCCCTAAAATAAATAAAATGAAAAAATAATATAGTTTTTTAAAGGGTGATATCTCAATAATAAAAAAGTTTTTAAAAATGGTATTCCCTTCTAATAGGCAAGCATGAAAGCATTCAGTCAGCCTGACTATATTTAATGGGCCCCTACAATGTGCCAAGTACTGGGCACATGAATAAAGACTGCCTTCAAAAAGCTGAAGGAGGGGAGAAGGTGGTGTACAGATGAAGTGAAAAGCATACTGCTTAAAAAGCACAAGACAGATACTTAACCCAGATTAGGAGAAGAGGGTCACTAGGTAAGCCCTTCTTACCAAAGTTGACATTTGAGTTTCTTTAAAATAATGAGCCCTCATTCAGGCAAGGGAGTCAGGATAGGCAGCATGTGCCAGGAACAGGGAACTGTGGAACCAGGAGAATATTCCTCCTACAGGAAACCACAAGTACTGAACGGTAATACACTGTACAAGTTAAGTGGAAGCTTGTTATAGAGATAGGAGATGAGGAGGAAAGCGAATTAGCAGGGACAAAGTAGGAGCAGTAAGCAGGAGCCAGGACATAAAAGGTTTTGTGTATCCTGGTAAGAAAGGTCTTGAGGTTAATTTAAAGGCAGTCAGAAGTCATATAAGCGCTTTCCACAGAGGAGTAATGTAATCATACCCACATTTCAAATAGCCCAACCTGGCTTGTAAAGTACAGGATGAAAGATTGAAATAGACATCCAGAAGGCTGTTCAATAACCCACACACAAGACGATGATGGTCTGCACTAAGGTAGGAGCAGTGAGGCAAAGGACAAGAAATGAATCTAATGGTAAAGAGAGATAGACGACATGATGTGTCCACAATGAATAGAACAAGTCAAAGAGAGGAAAGGTTTGAGGAAAAGTCTCAGGTCATGGAAACTGGGGTGATGGTAGAACCACCCACTGAAACAGGGAGCACAAAGGAAAAGAGGGTCTGACGGAGACAAACTCTGTTTTGAATGCATCACAACTGACAAGTCTGTCTAGCTGAACACCTGCCATACAGGTCTTGAACGGAGACTGGATATGCACAAGAGATATGGATTTGGGAGTTGTCATCGTATGGGTGATAGTTAAAAGCACAAATGATACATACAGCCATCACCTAGAGAAAAAGTGTAGTTTTGTATTTAGAGGGTCCTGAAAAGAACTTTATCACTGCTCAACATTGCAGAGTCAGGCAGAAGGCAGGAGGTGAGAGAACTATATAATAAGACTAGGAGATGAGTGGAAATAAATGGAGGGCAATGCTACAAAGGAAGAATAGTTAAGTAACCATAACATTTTAATTTATAATTCTATCCATGTTTGAAAATTTGCACATATTAGTTCACTACGTCTATGCTGTATAAAAGCATAAAGTGTAGGTGTGTTAGTAAAATGTTTAACTACCATCTGCATTGGTCTCAGATCACCAAACTTAAACATCGTATTCTGTCAAACAAATATCTGTGATGAAGTAAACATCACAGATAAAACAGGCTGTAGCCAACATGGATGTATTGTAGAAAAATTATACCAATGTTCCTGAAAATCAAAAACTGATGCTATTGAGCAAAACTAAACTATATGTTTTATGGAATTTTTGTACAGAAATCTTAGCTCAACGTAAACCAAAATGTACAAAATATTAAGGCATTGCCTTTATTTAGGAAGACATGAGCCAAGATCTGTTAAGTCATTCTAAAGCTAATATGATTACTGAACTTTCTCCTCCAAAGATTTGAGTTGAACGTTCAGGTAAACAGAATGCAGTTATTATTCACAAACCTAAGCGGGCTTCCCACCCCCCCTCAATTTATTTAAACTAAACAAACAAATTTCACCCATTTCTCTCATTCCCGCATCTGGCAACCACTGGTTGTTCTCTTTATCTATGAGCTTGGTTTTGTTGTTGTTGTTATTTAAATTGCACATACAAGAGAGATCTTAAGGTGTCTTTCTTTCTGTGACATTTAGTTTAGCATAATCCATCCATGCTATTGCAAACAGCAAGATTCCATTCTTGTTTACTGATGAATAATACTCGTGTGTGTGTGTGTGTGTGTGTGTGTGTGTGTGTGTGTGACAATTCTTTATCCATTCATCCATAAATGGAAATTTAGGCTGTTGTTTCTATATGCTGACTACGATAAATAATGCTACAGTGAACATGGTGTGTATACATCTTTTTGAGTTAGTGAGTTTTCATTTCCTTTGATAAATACCAAGAAACTGCTGGATCATATGGTAGTTAATTTTTTAATTTTCTGAGGAAACTCAATACAGTTTTTCTCTAGTGGCTGTACCACTATTAGGTATTTAAAATTCAGAATCATGTCTCCCAGTAAGACTCTTACATGAGTTTTTGAACTGGCCCCAAATAGCACAGAAAGTCTTTTTTCCTTCTTTAAACTACCATTTTCCATGTACCACTTAAATGGAGAATATTATTTATATTAATCATGCAATGACCCAAGTTGATTTTTAGTATATACTCTC